CTCCGCCCCACGCGCACTCGCCTGGCCGCTCGACCGCCCGGCCCCCAGTTTCGCCCGCTGAAGCCTCCGCTCGCTCGTCCCCGTCCCCGGCGCCGTTCCAGCGCTCCTCCTGCTGTGCTGACAGCTTGTCGGTTCGTCTGTCAGTTTGCGGCCCGACTGGCCGTCACCAACGCTAGCCGCTAAACCGTAGGCAGAATGAACACAACAAAATTGATATTCCTCTATCGATACAGCTGAATTCGCGGACCCTTCAATTTGCAACAATAGTTTGATTTCTAAGGTTTCTTTATACGAAGTCTAATACATTTCCATTTTTTCTCAAAAATGACTGCAACATTTTTTTATTATATTTTTCCTCAAATAGTGACAAAGACGTTTAAAATGTTGCTGGTCGTGTTTTCCTTGAATATGGTTATTTTTAGAAAAAATCAAAAGAAACTAGTACAGAGAGAATGTAGCATCACTGGTTTATACCTTTCATGAGCTTCTAATGCTTATATTTATAAGACAGGTCCATGGTGAACCTCGCCCATTAGTAAGAAGAACTTATGCAGAACTAAAAATGCGTTGCCTTTTGACAAACTTGATGCATCTGCTTTCATGCGAAACAACCGTATAAAAACAGTTTGAAGTTCTAAAGAACATTTATCACAGTGACGGCACCGATTCTCAAAAGACTACAAACGAAATATAAAGCAGAACGGGGCTCATTAATTATATTCTTTCACACTCTACGGGGAATTCAGAGATAAATGAATGATCGCCGGTGATACCTCAAACCTGTCACCGGCTGGCAAAAGACCTGCTCTTCTTTTTATATCCGGGCAAAGGAAATTAACAAACATGAGAGCGAAATACATAGCATTTAGAAGTACATTAAACTGTTCATCAGAGCGCATCACTCTTGCGGGCCATCACGCGCCCGAGCCTGCTCTCGCCCCGCCCCGCCTCGCTCCACCCCCCTCTCCGCCACAGCCTCTCGCTGCTCGCCCCACCCGGCCACAACACTGCTCTGGTTTGCGTCTGCGTTCGCATTCAACCTTGCTTTGCCTTCCAAGTGCGTTCTACTCCTCCTACATTGATAGACAAACGAATACGGCGTGAATATCGTGTTTGCGGTCTTAACTCCCATGCTCATCCATATTCAAGTACTAAACATCGTAAAACTGCTTTCATTGCTAAAGTATCTCCCGTCTTGAGCTTCTTTCAAGTCTTCTTTTCCTTGTACATCCCGCTCCAAAAGACATTTTTAGTTCATAACTGCTCCACTTGATGCACTTATTCCATGCCATATAAAGTGTATCATCACAATTCTTTAAGCACTCAAATTATTTCGATGCACCATTCTCTCAAGAAAAGTCAACTTCGACGAATACAATTTACTTTAGTTGTCCCTCAAAAACACATCCTTTCATCTGCTCCCTCACCCTGACTTGGATTCCCCTCCGAGTCCAACCCCTTTCCTCGTCTTCTCTCACAACCCCAGCTGACTGGCGCGCTCCCCGCGGCCGCGCCCGGCGGCGTCCGGCGCGCGGGCTAACGGAAGCCGTAATCACGCGGCCGATATTAATTACCCCGCGCGCGCCTAAAAACGCCGCGGAACCTGTCCTGCGCCCGGCCGCGCCGCCCCGCAAAAACCGGCAATTACGCCGCCGGAGTTTAACAGCAGCGGAGCCGAATCGACGGAGGGGAGGGCTGCGGAGGAGGTGGCGGTTACGGCAGTGGAAGCGGCGTTAGAGGTGTTGTGAGAAGTGGTGAGAGAGGGCCGGTTCAGGTGGTGGAGGTGGCGGTGGTGACCGCTGAGGAGTCAGGGCGAGCGAGGTGACGATGGCGGGGGGAGGGGGGGGCAACGGCGATGGACGCGGTGGCGCGCGCCGCTGCCATTTCCGGCGGAAGTCGCTGCCCCCAGCGCCCGCGGGCGCGAGTGGTAGCGGTGGCCGCCCCGGGCGCCCAGCCGCACGTGCCCGCATCGCCCAGGGGCGGAGGATGCGCAAAATGTTTTTCTTCGCTGTCGAAAAAGCGCACTTCTTATAACGTGTTATTAACTGTTTCCGTGGCAAAGCTTATGGAATATTTAAACATACTGATGTACTTTTATATTTATGTTGAAATCTGTTACAACACGTGTTGGAATTTATGTGTGTGTGTGTGTGTGTTTGTGTATAAAATCTCACCCGAGCAATAAGAGTTAGGAAATCACTTGTATTAAAAATGTGGTTCAGGATCTCTTCAGACCGCGGTTCTTGATAAACGTATGACATTGTCAGTTCAATTTTTGGTACCAAACGTTAGTGGGGGTATGAGTAACCTTAGTGTTATTGGTCCAAATGACGTGATAAAAGTGTGGGTGAATTGCATTACACTGGAGAATCTGGCAATGACGTTCACCCAGGAGTAGTACGAGAATGACGTGCAGAAGCGCCACGCGCTGCCAGGCCCAACGTGGCCTCGCCCAGCAATCAACAGACCTCTCCAACTCAACCACCCATCCGTCCCATTTCCTTCTGTTCCGTGCCGTTTCACCTCGTCCAGCTCGTCCCGCCCCGTCCTGTACTATCGTCACGTATTTCCTTTCATTCCATTCAGTCCCTTACGAATCTACCCCTCCCCCCTCGGTAGCATTTGCTCCGTGTTCCTTTCCACCTTCCCCCGCCCAGCTTCTCATCGGCATCTCGTCACACTGCGCTGTGCCTCGTCCTGCCACCTCGCACAACCTACCCCGTCTCGCTCTGTCCGTGACGTCCCATCCACATTCGCGCTGTTCCGCTCGCCACACACTTGCTGTCGAGACGACGGCGACTCTTCAAACGCCGAGAGAGTGTTCTCGCGATGTCGTACAGAGACGATCAGGGACACGGAAAATGGCGGCGGAGGAAGATCCGGCGAGTGTGCATGATCTCAAAGCACGCTCATCCTTCATAACGAAACCGTGGTGTATTCGAGAGGTCCATTCTG